TTTTTTTGGTAAAAATAAGATGAAATAAAAACAAACAACTGTTATATGTCTAAAATACAAAAACAAATTGTGTATTTATATATGTATATCTATATAATTAGGCTGAAAGACCACTAAATACAGCAGCAAGAATTCGAATGACCATACCAATACCAAGGAATATATAATTTTTTTTCCCTTGAATTTCTCGAAATAAAAATAACGACCATAATGAAGATACAATACCAGGTAAAACACTAACAATTGGATAAGCAACTGCACTTGATAATGCACTTATAGCAACAATAAAACCAATATTTGCTATAGCCCACAGTGCACCACTAGCTAAGGCTGGTAAAATAACCGATGCATTAACAACTGGTTTATTGTGTTTTAATGCTGCATAAACAACAAAATAGAATAAAGATGAAAGAAGTATACCTGCATATTGTGAACTAATATAAAAAAGACCATTCATAGGTGCTGGTTTTGTATCATATACATAATCATCTTTATGATCACGTATATATTGATCAGGAATAAACATCAATCCATAAAAAACTCCAGCTAAAGCAGCCAAAACACAGCCCAATACTTTCTGTAGTTTCTCATTTATTCGATTAAGAAATGGAAAATCAGTTTCAAGATTATCTGCATCGTTCTTATCCGTATTTCTTCTGTCACTCAATTCCATTGTTGACCGACCGTCATAATTAGCATCATACGAAGCTTTTCTCTTTGTTGGTGTTGTTGTTGTTGTTGATTTAATAAAAAGAAAGAATATTGCACTAATTGCAGCTAATACGACTGATATATAATTTAATGCTTTATCTGTTGTTGATACTGGTACTTGTGCTGTAACACCAAATAATCCAAAACGCCCACCTGCCCAACCCATAATTAAACTTGTTGTTCCCCAAATTAATAAACCAACAGAAAGACCACACGTTTTTATACAAAAAACTGTTACAAGATTTCCTGTTGTCCATAATACACCTAAAAATATATATATATATATGAAAAAAATGTTTCAAGAAAAATTTATTAATACCTCCAACTAGTACAAGTGGATAGAAACGTTGATTTCCTATAATAAGATCAAGTATAAGACCAACAAGCCAAACAGCAACACAAAAAACAAATTGAAAGAAAAACCCATCACCAACAGAAAATTGTTTTACTGGTAATAGATACGAACCAAAAACGCCTGATGCTACAATACATCCAATAAAGCCAGCCCATTTCGGCATTGGTTCCTCTTTGGTTGCATTAGAAGCAGTTGAATTATTCTCGATAGTGACTTCATCAGACGCGACACTTGTTGTTGATGATAATAGAATAAATAATAAGATCAATGGTATAGCAATTTGTAAACGCATTATTTTCATGTAAAATACTGAACTTAGTGACATATCGTATTTCGAAAGGATATATTATTCATAAATAGAAAGACGAAAAATAAAGATACTGGCAATATGTAAACTCTTATCAATGCACTATAACGCAAATTATTATTTAAAGTAAATAGAAAAAAAAGAATCTTCTACAATGAAAAGTATAATTGTTATCAAGATTCCGCTAAAAAGTTATATTTTTACGCAAGTTTTCAATAAGTTATTTTACGTAATCCATTCTTCTACTATGAAATTACAGATAACTTTTCAATTAATATTTTATTTGTATTATTTAACAAAATAAAAGTACAAAGGTATAGTTTATTAGACCTCGAAGGACATATACACCTGCGTTCTTTTATTTTAAATTTTATCATGGATATATAAAGAGTGTCTACTCTTTACTCTTATAAAGATAAGTTTTGGTTATACTGTGTACTTAATCAATTTGATTCATTGAATTTTACTTTTTTTAATATTTCAAATTAAATAATCGAAATCTATTAGATCTACAAATGATATAAATTTTGAATTCTGTCTTCAGAAATTAGATGATTTAGGACTCGGTGAGAGTTTTTCTACTTTTATTTCTATGATTTACTTTCTAATGAATCTTTGACATCACATTTAATATTTGATTTGACGTGAATCTATTCTATAGTATAATCTAATTTCTAATATACAATCGAACGGATTGCAAGACTCCATCAGCTTCGTTAGTATTGAAATTATCTTTGGAAACGATCATATACACTTTCGTTCAGTCTCCTTGATTTTGATGCTTATATTTTAAACTTTATCATATTAAAAGAATTTCATGTAGTCTTTTATGCTTATTACTAATGACTAATTCAAGCAAATCAATATATTATTATCATTTTCGAGTTTTTTCTTGATCATAAATAATTTTCTTATTTAAAATGAACACTCTTTTCTTTAACTACATTAAAAAACATATCACCAATAGTTCTCCTGATGTTCAAATAATCCATTATTGATATTTATAAACCACCAAATGCCACACTATGTTCATGAGCTTTGAGACGTAATGCTGCAAGAGAAGTATTTCGATGATCTGAATGAATATTATATCCAATATATGGAGAAGAATTGAAATTATTTGTTGAAGACGTATGTGATAATGATGGAAATACATAGGGCATATTCATAAAATTTGGTAAAGCATTGGACATCAATACAGAAGTAGATGATGTATCTGCTGATGAATAATGATCTCGAAGAGGAAAATGATTCAATGAAGTTGCTGATGATGGACACCAGCTATTACCGGTTGTCAACTAGAATTATAATTAATTAATAAAAGAAAAAAACATATATTTAAATTATTAATCTTAATACGGAAGGATATTGATTGTTAGTTGCGGATAAGAATGAAATATCATAAGGATTTGGTGTTGGTAGATTTAATGCACGCATTTGTGGTAGATTAGCATATCGTTCACGTTTACGCCATTTAGCACGTCGATTTTGAAACCAAACCTACTCAATCCAAATGATAAAAGATTATTTAATTATTAGAAAAATCAATATTCATACCTGTACTCTTGCTTCTGTTAAATCACAACGTAGAGCAAGTTGTTCTCGAATATAAACATCTGGATAATGAGTTTTTTGAAAAATACGTTCCATTTCTTCAAGTTGATATGATGTAAATGTCGTACGATTTCGTCTTTTTTTTCGTTTTCTATCATCATCATCATCATCTGCTATTGAACTACTACCATGTCGAATCAATAAATTTTTATTTGAATCTATATTAAATCAAATTAGATTAATTTTATCAATTACTAATAAAAATTATATTATAGATATATATTGAATTGATATAAAAATCATAAAATAATAAATTAATCAATCTAATCATTCAAGAATAAATACCTGAATGTTGATGCATCATAGTTATGTGTTAATTCGATATATTTGAACTCGTTCTTTTTTTTTCTCTAACCAAATTTTCGACCAACAATATAATATATACACACGGCTATAATTTTATTAATCAGTTATCTAGCAATCCGAATAAAAGCTACCGTAAAAACCAAAGAGAGAGAGAGAGAGAGGGAGAGAGAATAAGTAGAAGTGTATTTATGCTGTTGTCGATAAAGAAAAAGATTAATGATAGTACTCTTTCTTTTTTCTCCTTCAGACATAAAGTATATATCAATTTGCTGATTGGTCTATATGTACAAAAAAGATATTTTATATTCTGTGAACAGAAACATATTCGATTTTTTTTTTCTTATAAGTATAATTTACACTAAATCTCCATCATTTTTACTAATAGGAAAGACTAATTATGATGTCAACAGCTCGTCCGTTATTCGAAAAAAAAACTAGGGCGTCTATCTTGATGATTTGTCTTCATCGATCAACACGAAATTTTCTTTTTTGTTCTCTTTAAGCGGTAAAGATCAGTTAAAAACTATGTATCTAATAAGATAATATATTTTATTTAATAACGAACTATTACAATATAATTAAAGGAAAAGTTATTTTATCTTGTACTCTCTTGAGATGAAATCATTGTTGTTGTGATTGAACCTGATTGTACTAATGTACTTTCATCATCCATTCGACTTGGAGCTTGAGATGACGACGATGATGAACCTTGAGTTAGATCATCCGATGGATTATGTATAAATGTACTAAGCTTTCGATTTTTTGACCACTAAAAACAAACAAATATAATGAAAATATCACTTAGAAAAGGTTTTTTTCTTTTTCTTCCTAAGACAAATAACATGTGTATATATATGAGAGTTTATTAAATTATAGAGAAAAAGACTCATTTGTATATACAAAATTTCTTAGGAAAATAAACTTATCTAATGAAAAGAGAAAAAGAACATGTCTATGTTAATTATCATTTAAGTAAAGTTCACATCATTTACAATAAATATATTTTATTTTAACGATGACAGCTCGGATATTAATAAAAGTATCAAACTATGACAATCTATTTTTATGATTCAATAATGGATAATTTAGGAATTACTAAGATGAATATTCTATCTATAAGATTTGACATTTTAAACATACCACTGCAATTAAATTGCGTCGTCCATCAACAGTCAATTTTGCTGGTATATCTTTTAATGAATAAGTTAAAATAATATTTGTATTATTTCCTATGAAATCAACTGTTTGAGAATCTATAGATGATTTAAAATTAATAATCATTAAGCTTGATTGATGATTTTTATTAAATAATGGTATTTCATTATTATTTCCATTATTTAAATCGGCTGTATTACTACATACAATAGCTAATTTATCATCATCATAAAATTTAAAATTAACTATGGAACTAAATAAATAAATAAATGATTAATTATTCAAAAAAAAATGCGTTTTAATATATACCGATGAGGACCAAAAATTTGTTGGAGATCAATTAATCGAACGATGCATTGTTTACTTCTATATAAATGTAAAATAAGAGAAAATAGTTTTATTTTATATAGTCGTACGTTGATGTATAATTAATTAAATGAAATTGTAGAGAATTTTGTTGAACGATGTAGCTTATTGCATGTTGACTTCGACGATGATCAAATTCAATTGTTGAAGAAGATTGTTGATCAATTGGTCTACAGCAATCGAAATTATTTTTAGAATATTAAATAAGATATATTTGATTTTACATTGAAGCAAGTAGTGGTAATGCTTTATTTGTTTGAATATTTGAGTGTTGTGTTCGGACTTCAAATGCTTTAGTAATTGATTGTTTTAGATCTTGATAAGCACCTAGTAAAGATCGTCGTGGTTTAGGTGAAAACACAGTATGTTTATTGTTATTAGTATTAGTGTCTATTTTGGAGAATGAAATAAATGATATGATAAAATTATTAGGAAAGATTTATACTTGAATGATCAAATAGTTTTCGATAAGCTGAATTACGTGTAAGACTTTCAGGCAAATTTTCAGATTTTAAATACTAAAGATAAATGATTAATACAGTTGAAAGCAAAAGAAATATTTACCATGGAAAATATATCAAGTACAGGTTCATCAAATGAACAATAAGAATCAATAAATTCAATTAAATGATCCCAATCAGCTTCTGTACACTAGAGTTTTAAAAATAATTTTAATTAATAATAAATAAATAATTCATTTACTTCAATTTGTTCATCATGATGTGTACTTGTATTATGTTTAGATGTATGTAATTGATGAGCAACTAATATTAAGACATAAATAATTAGAGAAAGGATTAAAAAAAATTTGATATATACCGAAACCAAGCCAACGTAAGAAGAAAGTATAAACATCTGACATTTCATGAATGAAACTAAAATATAAATATTAATTTATATTTCAATAGAACAAAAATACTTACTCGGTATATTCATTGATCTTTAAAAGAAGACTACCAGCATTAGATAAACATGCTAAAAAAAGAAAGTCGAAAAATATTTTAAAAGTGGTATTCGGATTCGATTCCGAAACTATCTTGAGGATGCGGGGTGGATGAGGGTATAACAAAAACAATGATCACACCATTATCCTCTAACTGAAAACAAAAACAATTCGAGACACAAATGTTTCATTTTCAACGTTGCCCTTTCTACCGAGCCATATTCTTGTGTTTACTAAACCATACTGAACTTTTGCAAAAAGAAGCGTTTCAATTTCAGAAAATTTTTGTAGGGTTCAGTTTTCTACGTGAAACATAGATGTCCTTAAATATCTGGAAATTTATAAAAATGTATTTCGCAAAAGTTTTATAGTTAACTCTTTGAGGCTCATGATCCAATCTATGGACGAAATCTCGTATGAACTTGATATTTCGTATGAGCATTGAGTATTATCGACACTTTCATAAGAATATTTCAAGTCATTTTCAACTTTTAGCCGTATCCCCTTACGGAAATAGTGAGAAATATTTTAAGCACTTCCTCGGAGAGATACGAACGGGAGTCAAAAACTGCATCAGTAGGGTTTTTAGTCTTACATAAATATGTGCGTTAAAGTCTCTTCTATGCTGCAGTGA